TTAGGTATGCAATACCTGATTTTCTCCCTCTTTACTAAGGTACTTCCATTATTCCATGCAATGAATGCTGGATTCTATTAAATGTATTTACATTTTTCTCCTTAAGCACTGTTTACTGGGTTTTCACTTAACCATCCAACAAATACTGTGGTTATGCAAATGTTTACACTGTGTTCATCTTATTTATTTTTGCACAGAAAAAAGAAAAAGGAGCTGTTCCTAATTGTAAAAATACTAGATTTTTTTAGAGAAAAAATTATTAATAATTGCTAAAAATTGTAGTTTTCTATTTGCTACAAACTTAAAAGTAAAGCTGAACAGCAAATTATGGTATTACAACATTTAAGAAAGATGTCAGACTCATTCCCACATCCCCCATCAGGCAGATCACACTCATGAGCAGCTGCCAGGAAAGGTGGAGCCCACAATACAACTAATGTATAACTTCATCAGCGTGTGTGCTAGGCTCAGTGCTCGTTTTCCAAAGACAGTATCAGGTATGAACAGACCTTCAGCATTCCCAACCTGCCCACTCCTTTATAAAGCGGCAGTGGCTCCAGCTCCAGGAATGGTTCTGTGCTGACTCACTTCTGCAATACCCAGAGGAGCTGAGACACACCACACACTGAGAATTATTACTCCAAGTTATTGCTTCCCTTGGGCTATTTGAATAACAAACAAAAAGAATGCATAAAGTGAATCCAGATTTTTGCCCATTTTACTCGTTTAGAATATAAGCTCTTTGAGACAGGAGAACTACCCTCACTTTGAATCTTGCACAGTGTTTTTCACCTTATCAACAATTCATGCAATAATGTATGCAACTGTTCTGTCCTTGCTAGAAAAGAAGACACAGTCCCATGTTCACTGATAAAGACCCTGACAGATGTCCTGGGAGGACAGATTTGATTTGGATCAAGAAAGAATACATACTGAAGATTGTTGCTGAATTAGCCAGAACGCTTTATGGTGGTTACACAAGATTTATGCTGTCTGTGTAAAAGTACAGATGACACTCAGCTGGCATAAAGTCAGAACAGCTCAGAAAGACAACAACTGATTCAATAAAAATTTAACCAGAACAAAATGGCAACTTAAAAATTTTCAAATGGCGCCCCTGTGTTCCTATCTGTCCCTTGCTTTGCATCTCAGGATATTTTTATTCTTTTGGAAGAGACTCTAAAAGATTTCTGACTCTTCAGCTTATATCCAAGGGACTGAATCTGATCTCACTGGTCAGAAGGGCATCCTCCACCAACATGGCCTAAAGTTTATCATCAGTCACAGTGTCATTAGTAGTTTCTGTTTACCAATCAGAATGTCGAAATAAACATCTTGATTAAACTAAAACCACAAAAAACAGAGGATGGCGTACCAGAAGAACAGTGTGAATCCTTTTCTAGGAGGATGGAAAAATAGGGTCTGCTTAAGACAGGATCCCCAGGCACCTCATTAAGATAAACAGCTTGACAATGGAGACACTGCCAAGTACAAAAAAAACCAAACAACTTCCTTAAACTGTCTTTAAGTTGCTACTTTACAAAACACAATCCTCAGCTAAGTATGAGCTCCACCACCCAAGTGAAATCTCAGCCCCAGAGAAGTCACCAGCACAAATTCCCAGTGCTTTAAGGAGCCCAGAGCCACCTTTTGTTGTATGGGGCTGACATGAAAACGTGCAGGCACCACAGCCATGTAGCTTAACCCTGATCACCTCTTAGGAGAAACACACACTTTTAGACTCATCATCTCTTAGAGGAGACACCTAAAATAGGTCAACTGATTTATACCCAAAAATGCTTTTTTACCTCCTCAGGCAGAAACAAAGATTTAAGTGACAAGCTCTATATTGCAGATATCTAAAATAAGCAGAAAGAAACCCACATAGAATTTTATTCTTGGTTTTCAGATGAAAACACAACTTGTATATAAGGAACCAGCACATAATACAGACTGCTCTGTGGAAAAGATCAGAATACAGAGTTATTCATCACTCCTTCACCAAGAAGGCCCTTAATATTTAGACAAAACAAATGAAATGGAAAGTTGGAAACATTAACCATCCATGCTAATCAATGAAGTGAAACAAACTCCAAGTAAATTGGTCAGGTTTCCAGCAGATCCCCTAAGATTAGCACATTCTGACACTGTGATAACTGATAGTTAATCTTCTATTTTAATAAAGTTACTTCAGGCTATTTGTGTATTTTCTTTATCATATCATTAGGTTTCAGTGTCTCTTCAAAGACCAAAAATGAGTAGAACAATAATAATTTTGCATCTCTGCAGTGTTAATATCCTACCTGTACCCCACTACAACAAGATATATTTATGATTTATTCTACATCACCTCCTCCCTGATATGTCTTCGGTTCAATCCCTTACCTAGGAATGAAATCCTGTCTCATCACTTCACCCAACCTCAAAAATCTGTCTTCTGATTTTCCTCCAAATTTTCACCTTCTCTGCCAAAACTAACCTTCTATTTCTAACCTTTGAACTGGATTTCCAGGATGACAGGAGGAAAATCTTCTGGCCTCTTATGCCCTGGCATATTCCACAGCACAGGTTTTTTTTTTCATTTTTTTTGATTGTTCCTAACAACAAATGTTGATTACTCGGATCTTAATTTCCGTATTTTTCATTTCTTACTGTTCCTGGTTAATTATATTATTACATGCACATGCATCATCTCTATCACACCTTGGAGGAGATCAGATTACACAGATGGATATATTCCAATAAGATACAAATAACAGAGATACAATATAGAAAAATCAAGATCATAACAGTAATTCTGAACTGAAAATCATGAAACATACAACTATCAGTCAATGGCCATTTTTTTACAAAATAAATTTAATTTCTTATTTAGAACTTCTTTACGCTCCAAATATATAAAAATTAAAACTGTTAATTTTCTAACCAAAAAAAAAAAAAATTTAATGCATATAGCCAGAAGAAACTTTCCAATTTCCACCAAGACCACAACTTTTGCTTTTCATCAGAACGTATTTCAATAACTTATTCAAGCAGATTGCAGTAATTCCATAATACCATGTGATTTACGGGCACAACATATATTAAAACTAAAAAAAACCCAAAACCTAACACCTATTTTAAATAACAGATTGATATTAGAGTGGAATTGGTCTCTAGCACTCAATATCTGTGAAAAAGAACATGTGTCTTACACAGGAACTACTGTGCCTAAGAAAATGTAACCTCTCTACAGTCACCATTTTCATCTTTCTTAGTGTTAAACACACAGCTTTACTCTACAAATCCATAGCAAATTTAATTTTCCTATTTGATAGATTAAATAATTTTAACAGCCTGGTTACCCTTCGACTCAATGAAGAATGTAAATCTGACATCATCTCTATTAGGAATTTAGTATTTTGGGGAAGAAATTAATTATTTTTCTTACAGTCTTATAACCTTCACAATTTTCTGAGACCTTTCTCTTGCTTCACTCTTCATCTTTACTGCTCCTACATAACAGGTACAAAGGCTCCTTCCAACCTGCACATCACTGTGGTTCAAAACAAAGAAATCTTCTAAAATATCTTGAGGACTACTCACTACAGTACCTTGATAAACCACAAAGCTTGGCCTGGAATCTTATTTCAGTGTATTATTTATCATAACATTTCAGTGTATTTAACATTTCAGTATGTTAGAGACTTGGAAGTCTTTTTGGTTGTATGATGTTTTCTGTAACTGACACCTTCTTTCCAGAAGAAGAACTCAATAGCTTTTTACAGATGTTCTTTAAAAATGCACTTTATAACAAAGACTTAAATCATTATTTAAAAAAAAAAGTCACAAACATCAAAAGCAATTTTCAGTATAAACAGTAATCTGTTGTTACCAGTCAGGACTGAAGTATACAAAAAGTGTTGTTAATGACAATTAAATAACGAACCCTGTAGCATTGATATCTGTCTTTTTTTTTACAAAATACTAGAATACAATTTAAAGAAAAACTTGAAAAATGCCTCAGCTCTTTGTTAAATGACTTGGATATCTATCCTTCTTTAAAATGCAGCTGAAACCTGTGAGTGAGCTCAAAAATCAGTAGAAATGACTGTATCACAGACTAATAGCACAATTGTTTTAAGTGCCATTTCCTTCAGAAACCAGGCCAAAAGAATACTCATTTCAGACCAGAAATGTCTTAAATGTACCAGAGTCTCAGTGGGGAAAAAAAAGCAATCAGAGTGCTGATGAAAAAAGGAAAGGAATTGCAGAAAAAGGTAACTTCAAAGTATACCACATCCACCTATTCAACAGCTTACAGAACACATTGCTTTCAGTCTATTATAATCTAAGATTTATTTTCTTTTTTATGGTAACAACATAAAAAGGGAGGAAATCCCTGTCATTTATATCCTGATTAGTCAATAATCTGGAGGTCTAATGCAGACTCAAGCAAGCAAATAATTATTCAGATCAGTCCAACCAGAGCTTAATGAACAGTTTTAATTTTCTGGAAGAAAGACATTTATTCTCCTTCAGGAACATCTCATTGCCACCAGTTTCAAAAAATTGCTCAGTCTTTAAGTCAGCTCCACAGCAGAAAAATAGTCTTACTCAATAAATATCACTTCAAATGAGTATTAACCTCAAAGTTTCCTTTATTCTTTTAACTAACATTTACCTCTAAGAAAAATAAATATTGATGATTAATCTTTTTTCCAAATCCACATACACACAAAAAAAGTTTCCTTAATGTTAGTGAATGAAAATGCTAAAGAAGTATTATCGTATGAGAACAACTACATAAAGGATGCTGGAATCTTATCCACTTCTTCCCAATTTTTATCACCAATACAGCTGTACACCTCAATGAGATGCATTCATTAGTTCCCCCATAATTAATTAAAAGCCACTGGTAACTTCAGATCTGAAGTCTTGTTGGAAGGACCTAATTGCATAGTGGTTTTTAATTTTATTACTTATTTTATAAACACATAAGTTCAAAAATCTGTACTTACTTCTACATGTGCAAATAACATTTCTTCAGTGTTATCATTGTTTTTCTCCTTGAGGTCTGGTGGGATGTGTCTGTTTCTTACTTGGAAGTGTGTCTTACTAAGATAACCATCACCAAGGTCCTGTGTTCAGAAAAAGAAAAAAGAAATTTTCTGTAACCAAAATGGTAAATGCCTTCACTGTTCTAGAAAATAAACAGAGCATGGTATTTAGGCACAGGCTCCAAGTCTTTTTATAGGCACCGATGACTGCAGTGCTCCTCAGCACCTTCTCACAGATAGTTTACACCAGTTCTTGCTGTTGAAGGAAGTCAAAGACCTGAACAGCAAAAAATAAATTTTAATACAGCTATTAATGGAATAAGATAACTGCACCCTGGGGATCAGGATAAGTGCCAAAGAACAGGAAGGCAGTGCACCAAGATGATGAAGAGATGAGAAGTTATTAACGATTTTGACCTATTTCAATGCATTCATGCCAGGATTAACTTCCCAACTCTTGCGAGCCTGGTTTGGTTTTGCTGTTTCCCCCTCTAACTTTACGAAGTTCTGAATAACAAAACAAAACAAAACAAAACCTCAGAATTTATGTATGCAGAGTCACAACTTGTTTCCTCCTCTTGATCACCTCTGAGGTCAAACCTGAGAGGAAACAGACGAAGCTGTACCTTCTCCCAGCTCACATTTTATCATTCTGCTTCCCAGGCCACACAGCCCATAGCTGTTAAGTGCCCTAGCACAATCCCAGAGTGGCGGAAGAAAGGTTTAGGAGCTTTCCTGCATGTGCCTACCTGCACATTTTATTTTTGCTAATTAGAAGCAAGAGAAGAGAAAACGTTTAATAACAGGTACACTCTGAAAGGGAGAAAGCATGTACAGAAGACAAAGAACAGTAGTTGCATGTTGAGGATTTATTTCTCAAAGGAAACAAATAAATTGGGGGTTTATTAGCTGTTTCATTACATTTTATTTTAGACAAACAGAGAGCATATGCACAACATCTGATGGAAAAGGATTCTATTCAAAACAGTCTCACTACAAAATTCATTAACATAGCATTAAATTACTTGACAAGACTGCAAATTTAGTTGTGATTTAACTCTTTGGTTAGTTTGTCATTGCTGACACAGTTTATACCATTTATTTTGACCTTTAAACCAGCACAGCTTTTGTATTGACACAGTAATTCTCTCTTTCCAAAGACACTGTAGATTACATGTACCTCCAAAATCTGTGATCTACTTGTTTACTTTGCTCTGATCAAGTTTCACACATTAAAAAAAAAAGGATAATGCCCTCTACATGTATTTTTTCCATTGATTTTTAAGCATGAAGAACAGTATAGGCAATTACATCGCTCACTCCTCATAGTGTATGCCTTATTTTCTCAGTAAATCTCGTTAAGAGCATGAACCCACCAATCTTTCCTGCATGTCCTGGCTGCAGAGCCAAGTGCAGCCTGTGCAGGGAGGAACCCAGTGCGCAGAGAATTGATGAAAAGACAGCTAAGCCTAAATTTGTGATAGAAAATCCACTTCTTTCCCTCTCAACACCCTCTCAAGGGTCTCCTTGTTCCTCTGGAGTGTCTCCTCAAGGAGCTTCCCAACAGTGCCAGCAGGAGGAAAGATACCTGCACAGGTATTTGTCACACTAAGAGCAGCAGCAGAAGTGCTGCAGCCACCCACAGAGGTGACATGCCCCACGGCACAGTGAGCTGAGCCAGAGCACGGCTGGACAGAGCCTCTGCCTCCCTGAACCAGTTCTTACCTCCAAAAGAGTCAAACCTCACAGCCTTTGCATCCTGTGAGTGCGGGGAAGGGAGGGGAGGGGAGGGGAGGGGAGG